CAAGCTTAAAACTAAGCGTCGCGACCCAAGATATCTCTCTAAAAACTAAACATGCTAGAGAGCGCTGAGCAAATTATGTTTTAACAAACATATAAAACAAACTATGGCAGCAACAGAGTAAACGTACTGGACAAGTAGACGTGTTCATAAATTCAGCAGAGTTATTTAAAATTCTGTATGCAGAACAGTTAGCACAAATAGCTCTACATAGCTAGAATACAAAGAAAATAAGTTAGTGTATTTTTGTCATTCGATTAACTGAAATCAATGATTTTTTTTTGTGAGAGATATTAAACATGTTTCAGTGGCAGCATATCGAACTAAATATAATTAGTTTATCATAAAAGGGCAATAGTTATATAAACAAGAACGTCTCTGTGGCTTTTTTCAATCTACTGAAACTTTGTAAACTTGTGTATACAGACTCAGTAAGTCGATGGTTCATTATGCCTCATGCTTCGTTCACATAAAGTCAAAATCTTAATAACAAACTACCTGTAGTTATTATGCTGTAGTTATCACGCTATTATGCGTGATTCAAGTCTAAAATATAGTTTGTTTTTTGTTACATGTGCTAACGCGAGAAAAAAACATAAAACAAATAATAAACAAATACAAAGACGCCTACGGTAGATTTATTTTTTTATTTTTCAACGAAGACGACAGACAACTTCAGATAAATGTTTTTATATTTTAGTCATGGCCAGGTGGTTAAGGCTAGCGCCCCTCGGGTAACTCTGCGCAAAATTCAAAACAAACTCATTTTACTCAACGTACGCCTTTTTCATGAGTCTTTGAACGTCACTTCGGTTAGAATAAAAAGAGAACATTTATTTGACGTTGTTTGTCATTGTCATTGAAAATGGTTTCCATCTTTCAGTCACCACTGAAAACTTAAAACAAAATTATATTGCACTTAATATACGTGTATTTTATTTTATTTTTGTTACTGTAATATTCAAACCTTTTATTATCTTTCACCAAACCACGGATACAATAAAACTTCACAGTGTTTTGCCTGAAACTTACCTGTCAACCTGTGCCAGAAAACACTTAACATTAATATTTTCGGTTGGACTCTCTTTACTCTCAAATTACCATTTATGCACCTTATCGAGTACTTATACGTTACACTTAGTACAGAAAATGAGGCAAATAAATTAGATTAAATCACTCGTTTTCTAAGTAAAATACCTAGAGAACTCCATACTTCATTAATGGGATTAATTGCATTTTTATTTACAAAGCAAGTTGGTATATAAAAAAACTTAAATATGAAAACGTGTTTAAAAAGCTGATGGGGTCTGGACCCCTTCAGTAATTCTAGGGTTAATATAATGAGAACACTTTGGTCTAAAACGACATTCCTAATGACGGTAATTTTTGAACTTTATTTTGAAATAGTGTTATACATTATATGGGTTTTACTTGTGTTGTTCATTCTGTTACTAAAGTTAGGTACGAAAAAAACTAGAAAATTTAATGAATAGAGTTAAGAATAATTGGCTTATTGCGTGTCAAACGATTCAAAGTATCAGAAAGAATAAACTCTTTTGCGCTGTGTAATTTCAGCGTGAGATATCCCATGTTTACATAATAAATACGTTGTGTCTATACGGTAAAATAGGAAACTTGAAATGCTAAATTACTCTAAATACATGTCTAATTTGCTACAAAGACCGTATTAGCACAAACTGTTATAACTACTACACGTAGAAAACAAAGCACAAATATCCATAATATTATAATAGCAAAAGTTGTTGCTTTCTTAATGCAAAGCTACAAAAAAGATCTATGTACACTTTTTTCACAGTAGGGGATTCTAACCCCGGATTTTAGCTTTATAAGTCTGTAAACTTACCACTGACCCACCGGAAGAGAAGTAGTAAAACACCAAAATATGAAATAATGAAAAATAAGGGTAGCAGAACACAAACAACACAATGTTGAGATAAGTAATACTGAATATAAAAGGTTTAGTACCAAGAAAAGCAAAAAGACAAGATTAGAACCCAGAGTATCGAAATAACCAGATTAGGATAGAGATTACTAATTAAAATTCAAGTAGTTGATCATTCGGCATGTTATCGAATCGCATAACATAGGTTTACAGCTCTTTGTTACTCACAGTGTTTGTCATCTTGGTTGTCTATGACATTGGCAAACCTTCTTTGCGACAACGTCTTCCTCTGAGCATTATCTTCCAGAGGTGTTCCAAACAATGTAAATCTAGAATTGGGCTGTTCAGTCACATGAGAACATATTCACCCTAGGAGACGTCGTCTTCGCTCGCGAAAAACTGCCGATGACGTTTGTCATCTCTTCCAGTTGCAATCCAGTGTCTCTGTAGAGAGTGTCCGCGAAGATAAGTGACTGTCCTCCTCTTTTTCTTGTCCCTTGCTGTGGTCTCCATAGCAGAAACTTCTTGACTTCCTCTTCATCTCTTCTTAAGCAGTGGCCAACAAATCTAAATCTTTTATTCTTTCCTAATTGAAAGCCGTTCTTTGTTTCCGTATATCTTTTATTTTTCATTTTGTCTTTCTACTTGATGTTAAGCACAGCTATGCGCTTGATATAGCCTCTTTTCAATGATCAATGTGAATGTTTTCAATTCGTATAGAAGTACGTCGTCTATTTTTGTCTGAAAGTCTAATCTTTGATCTTCTAAGTAACTTGGATTACAGTTACAGCTTACAGTGGAATAATGACTAAGCAAGACTGAAATCTCGAATGAATATTGAGATAGAGATTATAATAATACGGAATTAGTAACCGAAGAATGGCAAAAACGATAAATATTAGGATCCGTAATAGCGATAACACAGGATTAATATATGGTAAAGAATTGAACGACAATACTAAGTTTGTGAATAATGAAACTTCGTCATTAAGACATTGAATATTGAAAATATAATTCTAGGATAAAAATTAAAGAAAAGAATAATTACATGAATATAAAATGTCTGAGACACTGGTGTTGAAGTACGAGTCTATGTAATGGTATTAAAATGTTATAATTCAAAATATTTGTAGTGAAATATAAATATACTAACTTTTGACAACATATATAATATTATACAATGAAATGTCAAAGTTAAATCTGAATATAAAATAAAATATTAATAAATCAAAGAAGAGGATCTTTTGAAATATACGAGAGGAGTACTAAATTCATGTTTAATGTTATTGTGCGAGCTTCAAGTACATATAAACTTTCATCAAACAACAAGACAACGAATATACTACTTATCAAGTACTAAATTCATGTTTAATGTCATTGTGCGAGCTTCAAGTACATATAAACTTTCATCAAACAACAAGACAACGAATATACTACTTATCAAGTACAAAAGTCATGTTTAATGTCATTGTGCGAGTTTCAAGTACATATAAACTTTCATCAAACAACAAGACAACGAATATACTACTTATCAAGTACTAAAGTCATGTTTAATGTCATTGTGCGAGATTCAAGTACATATACACTTTCATCAAACAACAAGATAACGAATATACTACTTATCAAGTACTAAAGTCATGTTTAATGTCATTGTGCGAGATTCAAGTACATATAAACTTTCATCAAACAACAAGACAACGAATATACTACTTATCAAGTACAAAAGTCATGTTTAATGTCATTGTGCGAGATTCAAGTACATATACACTTTCATCAAACAACAAGACACGAATATACTACTTATCAAACAAAAACCTTCCAAACAGCTTTTGCTGAGAAATAAGGGTTAGAATACCTGTGATATAATAAATTGAGAAACTATAGCTTGGATAATTTCGAAAAAGAAAGATAAATTACTAACATTAAATAAGAGAAAAAAAGTCCTAAATAGCGCAATATATATCAGCATTTATATGATAAACACCACATTGATTTTTGAGATGGTTGTATAGTTCTAGATTAAGTATCAGTAATAACATACATTCATATTTTCCAAAACCTCTGATACAAAAATTCTTTGTGTAAAAGTTTTATTATTAAGCCATTACTGTATGACTTATGTTTGCCAAAAATATTTTCGAAGTCAGTATATGGTAATAATAATATTTAGAATTACTATTAGTTTGTTTCATAATAGGACAAAATATGTGAAATGTATAATATTCCATCACAACTAGGGGAATGATAATTCAAATCATATTATTATTTACTGACCCAATACTGGTTTCCAATAAGAGGCGTAAGTTCTGATACTGAAACCTTCTCGGCAGCAATACACAATAAACAAGTTATATTTGAAACGCTTTTATCCACCCTACTTACTGGAAATTTGTAGAGGGCCAGCAAAGAATAATGTTATTTAAAATATTATTAGTCTTAATGATAAAGCAAAACACGAACGTGATAATAGGAAGCATTTATTAAACGTTTCGGAAACATCATAATTCCATCATCAGTAATCTAGAGGTATAAAACAAATAAATAATATTTGTAATTACAACAGAAATATATACATAAGAAGTAAACAATTTGAACATACAATTATAACACGAAAAAATGAAGAAATGTGGTTCAGATGAAATAGTTCAAATAAGTTCAAATCAAGTGAAGACTATGTATTATTTAGGGACGAAAGGGGAGTTTTTATGTATGATGTTCGTGGTTTGCTTTATCATTAAGTTTCGTTTTCCGAAAAATGAGTCGATTGTTAGTCTTACTGTAATATAATATCACATCCTCATAGTAACTAAATGTTGTATTCCGCTAGCTAAGGTATTCTACACCCTAAGACATGGAGGGATAATTTTAGTATTCTGACGAATATTGTACAACAAGTTTACTGGGACACTGCAGTTATATGCAGTTAATTATAACAACAACAATAAAAAAAACAGCAAAACAAACAAGGTGTACAAATGCATTTGAAAAATTCACAGGATTGGTTAGAATGTGCATGTGCTTTCTACTGCGCAACATCAAACGCCGACTAAACCTCACTGTAACGTGCAGATACAACTTTTCACTACTTTAGAACTATCAGATGTTGTTCAACCGAGAGGTTGTGGTTGAACTAAATATCTCACGAGAGAGAATGAGGTGGAAATGTACACTGATGAAACCAAGAGCCGTTTGTCTTTTGCTGATGTTATTCTTGAAATACTGTAAGTAGTATTTCAGTTTTAGAAAGATCATATACTGTAATTATTCTTCAAACATGGAAATATAATTGGAGTTTTAATATATACACCAGTCACACATTATATACTATTGTTAGACGATAAGTATTGTAACTATCATAGGATTGAGTTCTTATTCACTTCTATGTTAGATTAAGATAAAATAGGCGTTTGTACAATTAAGATATAGATATTACTCACAAGAAAATCGAACTGAGGCAGCTTAAGGTTGTTTGTAGTATTAAGGTTGAAACTGTGTTTAAATTATATAACTTATGCAGTAAATTAAAAGTGTGCGTTAATACTAATTACTATTGACATAGTTAACGACATATTATGGAAATGACAGAACCAGGGATCTTTTAAGATTTCAGTAAAAAAAATACATTATTTTCATATTTCTTTACGATGCACAATAGCTAATTTTACTTTGTGAAATCATTAAAGGCTCTTTAGTGACTCCGGCCAAGTCGAAAGGTGGAGTAACACTTCAGTGACTTCAGGGCCGAATTTTTGACTAAATCCGGGGTATTGCCACATATGTAACGAATGGTGTAATGCCACTATTCTTATATTTATGAATAAATTCAAACATTCTTACATCATATTTAAAATAGAAGCTTCATATCTGTCTTAGGTTCAAAGAAAGAAGCAGCCGAAAAATATGCGAGATAAAATTATTTATTATCTATTAAGTTTACTTTTAAGGGTTATAACTGATTTGAATTCACTATAGTAATTTTAAATTATATGTTTATGTATGCTCATATGTACTTTTACGTTTTTGTTTTCTTGGTGGGTAAAAAGAGAGATTTTCTCCTAAATTTCATTTTCTGGCATTTATTTCTGAATATTTTTGTGTTTTTTTTTGTGTGTTTTCTGTTTTATCGCAAAGCTACACAGTGGACTATATGAGCTCTGTCTGCTGCGGGGAATCGAACACCGGATTTTAGCATTTTAAGTCAGCAAATCTACTGGGAGACATGTCTGAAGTACGCAAAATTGAAACTAGGAAGTTAGATACATTTTATAGTTACGTTCATTGTAATTACACACACACACACACTATGATATACCATTTGACTACTGAACTTTGACTGGTGCATTGTGCTTTCCTCAGGTGTATGAGTCGACCACTGGTCAAGTCAGTAAGGAGCAAAAGTACGCAGGTTATAAAGATAAGTGAGAACAGATAAAATATGTCAGGTTAAAGAAACAATTATAGTGTAAAACTGAACAAAGAACTAAGATGAAAATATCTCCCGTGTTTCAAGTTATGCATATAAATCCTTAATACGTGACATGACGAAACAAATTTTTAACATGTTTAGAATAATAAAAAAATGTTAATGTAATTTCAGGAGGTAGGACTCAATTGTATCTTATTACTGGTACAATAAAACTAGTATTAATTTGTACAAATAGCTAGATATTTGACGACAAAACAGTAAGCTTGATTCGTGTTTGATCAGAGGTTATAATGTAATACATTTTAGTGTGATTTGATAGTTTAGATGATGAAAGTTTATTTTCGTTATTCCATTTTATTTCTCAAGATGTTTCATTTATTTGTTACCAGGATTATAGCTTATGCAAACCCTTTGTTTCCTTGAGTAGACCTATATGGTTTTATGCGAACCCTTTGTTTCCTTGAGTAGATCTATATAGTTTTATGCGAACCCTTTGTTTCCTTGAGTATATTTAGACAGTCTTATGCGAACCATTTGTTTCCTTGAGTAGATCTATACAGTCTTATGCGAACCCTTTGTTTCCTTGAGTAGATCTATACAGTCTTATGCGAACCCTTTGTTTCCTTGAGTAGATCTATACAGTCTTATGCGAACCCTTTGTTTCTTTGAGTATATTTATACGGTATTTTGCTGTTGAATGATTAAGAGGATAGCCCAATAAGATAAATGCTTAAAACTAAAAGTTTAATCACAAATATTTTATGAAGAAATTTGAAAAGTTTAAAACGTTTGAAGACAAATTTTGCTCAGTTATCTCTCCAGTAGCTCAGTGGTTAAGCATGAGAGCTTATAACTATAAACATCGGATTTCGATACCCGTGGTAGACAGCGTACAGATACTCCATTGTACAGCTTTATTCTTAACTATATACAAACAAAATTGTTCGCTTAGATATTTTCTCTTTCATAATGTGGCGATCAATCCCACTATTCGTTGATAAAGAGTTGGCGGTGAGTGGCGTTAACAAGCTGCCTTCCTTCTAGTCTATCACTTTAAAATTAGCGACGGCTAGTGCAGATAACTTTCGAGGAGCTTTGCGAGAAATAAAACAAGTTTTGTAATTTTTTTTTTTAGATACGCATGATCAGTTAAAGTTCTTTATCTTAAACATCAAAGAATGTGTTAGGCAATATATTCAATGATTAAACGGATATAAAAGAACAATTCTAGATACCGCACCAGTATCATTTAAGGGGTGTTGCAAAATAAATCACACTTTTTTCCCCGAGAGCATAACAAAGTAAAATAAGATTTTAATTCAATAAAAAAAAGTAATTCCAAGTATCAATATCGCTTGATTGGGCCACCATTGTTCACATGCACGAGTTTTAATCGATTTGCAAATGATTTCAGCAATGTAACAAACATGTCTGTTTTTGTGGCTGTCTCTGTGAGCACATCAGTGACAACATGGATCAAGGTTTCGCGTTTGTGTCTCTCGCATTCAGGCAAAGTTTCCAACATTTCGTATGTGCATTGTTCAACGAAAGCTCCGACATTTTCGGCAGGATTTAAATCTGGAGAGTTTCCAATCCAGGTTCCACCACTTTTTCACAGACCAATCTTTCAAATTCAACAATTCTGAAACTTTTGAGGCATTAATCGGATATTTCAAATCTGGTATTGCGATGTGTCGATTGGAAGACTTGAATTCTCGGAGCATGTCTGCAACTAGTTTCTCAGCCATCCCGAAGGCAGCACATGCGACAAAAATTTGAGTTCTAGTGAACACCATGATTCAAAAGTTTTCACAAAAAATAAAATTCGAAGAGTCAAACACCTAAGAGTACGTTGAAATGACGTTTTCTCAAGTTCGTCATTACTTCGGGGAAAAAAGTGTGATTTATTTTGCAACACCACTACGGTTCATCTAAACTTCACAAGAATAGTCTCTCCGTGCGTCCCATTGTTTCTATGCATAGGATCTTTTGCTTTTATCGGTAAACTTTACTATCAAATGATGGCGTTGTTCACCCTTACTATAAGTCCCACACTCGTCAATGCCTTTCTTTGTTTTTACGAATTCTCATGGCTAACATATTGCCATAACTATCTTTAGACTTAGATTCTCCAAAACATGTGTTGACAATACTTTGCTATTTTTCTTTCGAAAAAATACATTTCTACATTTTTAACTTATCGTGACACCCAATTACACAACTTATCTATAAAATAGAAAACAATTCAACTCTCCCTCTTGTAGAAGTTCTTCTGTTTACAGAAAGAAAACTTATACTGGTGATTACATAACTTTTAACAGATTTATTCCCTCCCGTTTTGTTCCCTGATGGGACAGCGGTAAGTCTACGAAGTTACAACGTTAAATTTCGGGGTTTGATTCTCCGCAGTGACACAGCAGATAGCCCAAGGTGGCTTTGCTCTAAAAACACAAACAAACCCTCCGATTTAAAAAAAAATTCATCTCTTCCAGAGCTTATCAATTCTGCTTAAACTTCTAGAATCTACGTGCTAAAATAACCTTACGCAACATTTTGAATAAAACTTGCTGAAAAACTCACACGCAGCTTCTGAAATAAGTACACATCAGAAGTTGAATAAATAAATGTCTCGCCAATCTCTGTATCCCCTATCTTGAAAAACAGAGTGTTCAACCAGAAGAAATGATACTAAGTTAATACACAGACATTACCCTTAAATTAAACTCTGAGTACCTTTCAAGCTTACTTTGAGATTGAAATACTTTACTTACGTATAAAGACAAATTACTACCAACCTTACACTTATTAGTCGTACACAGATGGATACACGTATGTGATATGCAGTCATCTACATTAGAAAGATTAAACGCCATCTTGACGTTTGTTCCCACGAATACTCGCGTGTCTTCATAAAAGTTGGGTCTAAATTATTGAATGTTGTGCACATCCGCCATTAGCACTCGCAAAGACAACACCAAACACTACACCTTTTGTGGATACTACTTAAACATTCTCAATTCAGGCAAATCTGACAAGGAACTATTAACCAAAGAAATTATGTTGATCTAAAAATATCGACCTACTCTTGATAACATTAAAGCTCCTTTCAATTAAATAATAGAAGTTGTCAAGTTAGAAAGCTCAAACTTTTTAAAATTGATGATAAGTAACTACGAGTATGCTCTCAATTTGAAATACGACAATCCAGTACAGATCTTGCCAATGACCTAGTTGTAAGTAAAGGTGTGAATGTTATGTCCAGAACAGTAAGGTAGGCAAGAGCACCTGTGTTTGTAGCTGCTCAAAGACAACTGCTTAGGAGAGATAACCATTATTCTTCAAAAAACTGGATGAGCAAGGTTGGAGGAGGGTGGTCTTCACAGACTAATCCAAACTTATATATCAGTTGGCACCACTTAGCGATAGTTTCTTCAATGTCAACGAGGAAAACGTACATCTTTAGTGAAGTATTCTGTAAACAGTACCAGTGTGTGCTGTATCTAGCCAATTATGTTAGAAATCTACACAAAGTTGATGATATCTTTGCTTTTGACAAATACGAAAAGATTCTCATCTATAATGTCATTTCCTCAAGAACAAGACCTAGTGAGCAGGAGCCCCTCTTCCAGCTGCAACAAATGTGGTGAAACGATACCTGGAAGTAAAGCTAAAAAAGCTGATAGAACACTCTCAACCATGATTGTACAAAGTCTTGGTATGATGATAAATCGGCAGCCAAACAACTTGGATGAATTGTGGAGAGTAATATATAAAAAAATGGAATGCTATTTCAGTCACACGTTGATGAAATTAAGTTAGGATAGAAACAGACGTAATGTTCTGTTTGAAGCAAATAAACAATACTTTTCTGCTATTCGTTTGCATATTTTCTGTTAGAATGTATTGCATTAATGACAACTTGATTACTAAGTTCCTTTCACTCATTGTTTGTGATTTCTGTATGTATATCTCCTGTGTATTACTATAATTATTTCTAATAATGCATGTCTTCCAATACCTCATTTAAATCTTGTTTAGTTGAATCGTTCAAAGAAAAAAATATCAAATAAGATCAAAGATTGTAACATCAGTTTAAAACCTTGCAGCTATCCTTTCTAATTTCACTTTCACAGTAACAGGCGTAAGGCTTAATTATTATTTTTTCGTCTTATTTTGTTCTGTTGTTGGAAAGGGCTAATCTTTGATTTTTATTATAAGTTTGAGTCGAAGATGAAACATATATCAGCGTATGTAAATTTTACAAATTCTCATTTCCTTTCCATGTTTCACTGCTAAGGTGAATAATTGTTTTATTTTCCCTTATTTCTAGCATCCCAGGCAGAATTAAAAACAGAAAATAAATGTGCTGAAGGCTACACGTACTATGATACGTTCTGCTACAAAATGACGTTTACTGATATTTTGCCCTGGTCAGAAGCTGCAGAGGTCTGTCAGAAAGAAGGGGCTCAACTTGTAAACATTGATTTCTCGAACGAACAAGAACAAACGTTTCTACTTTCTAAACTACAGGGGGCTCATTTCACAGACTACTGGATTGATCTACGTGAGGTCAGATTATGAAAGTGGTCTTAATATTTTTGAAGTACGTTTCGACTTATAATAATTAAATATAAATGAAACAAGAAGGAAAGTATTATTGAGTTTTAATATACAAATTTCATGATGTACTATTTCATTTCGGAAACGTATTTGAACGTTTTGTTATTTTTGCGTCGAAGTAACTAATTGCATTACTTTCCCATAAGTCAGTGGAATTTTTTGCTGGATTAGAGTTGTGTTATAATTCAGGGAATTTTCATAATAACTCTTGTGAACTAACATAAATATTTAAAGACACATATATATACATATTGCTTAATATTTCCATATTAGATGTATTCGCAAAATACAATTGAATCCTTTGTTGTACATTGCAAATTATCGTCGACATCGATATTAACAATAAAATACAGTCATAACAATGAAGAAGAGTGCATAAGAAGCTTTTAATATTTTCAATTGTCTTTCTTTTTGCTTAATTGTACAGGTCAAGACAAAAGGAAATTGGGTGTACAGTGATTCTTCGACACTTCCTGCAGACTTCATGTTGTGGGGTGAAGGTGAACCAAACAGTAAGTCTAACCTCCAGTGTGCACGAATATCAACAAAGTTTAATCTATATATCGGGGACATGGATTGCTCTTCTAGCTTCCACGCCATCTGTGAACGGTCTATAAGCTATTCGCTAGGTAAGTGTTTCAACTAATGCAGGCGTACCTTTTAACTGGAATTAATCTTACTTCCATCTGCCTTTACGTTTAATATTATACTTTTAGCTCACAGCCGCCTTCAGTTAGAACGGTATGTTAAATTAGCTATGTTAATTTGTAGTTATGATCTATGTAGTAGCTGGTTTTGTTTAGTTGTTAATGATAATCAGTCATGTGAGATTGGTAAAAGAAACTGATCTTTATTCCAATAGAAGAGATGTAATGCAACAAAAATAATCCAGACACAATAGGAAGAAATAGAGCAATATTCACAGTTGTTTCATGATTATACCACTTATATTAGGTCGTCAAAAAAATAATTTCACTTTCTTTGTATGAAAAAATACGAACAGCTTATATTTAAAAACAAAACATTTATTAAATGAAATAGTCTCCATTTTTATCGATGATGCTTTGCCATCTTACAATCAGGTTGTTGGTGCCCTGATTCAATAAATCACTTGGCTTTGAAGCAAAAAACATGTCGA